AGATGCCTCGTACCCATGGCATTACTGTTCAACAGAAAAACCCCAAAAGAGGAGCCGCTGGTGTCTTCGAGGCACAGGAAGAATGTATGAGCTCCATACAGATTAATCATGCCCTGTCAAGAAAAATGATAGGAAATAATAGTAGTGTATGTTAAAAATGTTTTTATTTATCCTAAAACAAACAAAATCAAAATCTGTGTACAACCTGTACTTGGTCAATACTTGATGTAGTTTAGTATTGTATCAAAAGGGTATTGATGGGGCACCTGCATGGCTCAGTTGGTTGAGCATCTGACTCTTGATTTTGGCTCAGGTCACGATCCCAGGGTCGTGGGATCAAGCCCATATCGGGCTCTGCACTGAACATGAGCCTATTTGAGATTCTCTCTCTCTCTCTCTCTCTCTCTCTCTCTCAAAAAAAAAAAAAAGGTATTGAAATGGTAACATCAATTGAAAAATGGATAAATAAAATGTGGTATATCCATACAATGGAATACTATTAGTAATAATAAGAAATGAAAACATGATCCATGCTACAACATGAATAAACCTCATAAACGTTGTGCTAAGTGAAAAACCATATATTGCATAATTCCATTTATATGAAGCATCCAGAGAGGTCAAATCTATACAGACAGAAAGTAGATTAGTGATTGCCCAGGGCTGACATGGGCACTGAGGTGGGAAAGGGGATTAGGTCTAAAAAAGGTATAAGGGATCCTAGTGGTATGAGGAAAACATATTCCAAAACTGGATTATGATGATAGCTGCACAACTCGATAATGTGCTTAAAAAATTACTGAGTTGTACATTTAAAACAGGCAAATTATAAAGTAAATAAATAGTATCTCAGTCAAGTTATTTTTTTTTTAATTTGGAAAATATTGTGCTTCGGATTCTGTGTCTCCCTCTCTCTCTCTGCACCCCCTCCCCGCTCACATTCTGTCTCTCTGTCTCAAAAATAAATAATAAACATTAAATTTTTTTTTAATTTGGAAAATATTGGCAAAGACACACAACAACATGTTAGCAGAAGATGATGTTAGTATGAGAAAGTTTTAATTTCTTCTTTATGCCAGCTGTGTTTTCTATTTTCTCTATAATTACTATATAACACTTAGGTAGTAAATAGGTTTAAAAGAAAAAGAAAAAGATACTGAACCCATCACAGGGCTGTGATGAACACTGATCTAAAAAAAGATAGTGTGTATAACAGTAAAAATGTGAGAGGGAGAGGGAGAGAGAGAGAGAGAAAGAGAGAGAGAAGGAAAAAAAAGGAAGGAAGAGAGGGAGGAAGGAAGGTACACAAAGACTTTAATCTGTGATTACATAACTCAAGAATTTTTTAGCTATAGAAGGCCAAGCTTAGTATGATGCTTAGCATTCCTTATTTGTCAGGGTCCTTGAGCAAGCATTTTAGTGAATGTGCTGGCCATTGCTTTTTTCTCTCTGTTTCATTCAGTAAGTAAGCTCCCTTCCTTGCATCAGATAGTGGTAGGTGGGCCAGTTAATGGGCTACTTAACCTGCATGTCTTGCACAGATTTCGGAAACATTACAAGCACAATGGAGGCCTCAGGACATGCTCTACAAAGCAATGCTGCTCAAAGCTTGTTCATGAACTGGTACCTCCCCACACGCTTTACTGTAAGTCAGCAACAAGGAAAGTACAAAAATCAAGAGAAAGAGTTCAGGAACTCGTACAGCAATTTAAACGAGTGATTTTATATCTGTTCAATTTAAACATATATTTTTTATGTCTTTGAGTAATCCTATTTCATTTTCCTAGGATTAAAGAGAGAGAGAGAGAAAGGAACTGATCCTTCACTACAGATAAGTTGAGAGACACTGCCCCGGAACACCTTTAATATGCACGTGGGTCCCAGTGGGCCTTGTAAAAATGCAGATTATGGTTCAGTAGGTCTGAATAATTTTAAAGCTGCTAAAAGAAGTATTTTTTAGTCCACAAAGTTCTACGGAGGATAGCTCCTGCCAAAGCTCTCCCCTAGATACAACTCAATTATGAAAGACGGAGTTATTTTGCAGAAGGATTTTCGAATATATATTAGGCTATTGTACAGTCATTAATTATATCTTCCCTTAAAAGGGAGATTTTCAAAAATGGATTTGTTACTAATCATGAGTTTATAAGCCTCAAGAACAAGTATTCTCCCACACAAACAGACCTAACTTGGGCAAAATAATATATGGATGTAACTCTGTGGGTTGCTTGACTCTAGGTCACATTCTGGAAAGGAGAGAAAGATTCCTTCCTGTGAGCAACAGGCAGGAGGAAGGGGAGCTCACCTTGGTGGGGGTGGCATCCCGAGTGAAGATGGGCCAGGTCTTCCAGGTCAGGTTGTGGAGGTACTGCTGATGCACGTGTTCTCCCAGCCCATACACGGAGGTGCTGGGCAGTCGGAAAGACAGCTGCAGGTACTGATGGGCGAACTGCAGGGGCCCGATGCTCGTGTCCAACCTGGGCCATGGGGTAAGGATGAGAGTCACCAACCAGCTATCTCTGCCGGGAAACTGTCTGCTACTCTCCCTATCGACTTCGAGAACAGTTGTTTTGTGCATGTTCTCATTCACTTTCATACTACCTTTGAAGGTCCTTCTAGGGGGTCTCTGATTCTTTATTTCTAGAGGAGCGTAGCACCGGAGACGTGACACCAGAAGCTCAAGTTGATGACTGGAGGAAGAGAGCAGATACAACCTTACGCTTGCGTCTGCTTCTTGCCAGGCACTACTCTGGATGCCTCCAGAATGTATCTCGGTACACAGAGCAACAGTGGACATTATGATTCCCTTTCTACGGACGTGGAACTGAGGCTGACGTGAGATACTTTGTCTAACCTCACAAAGCTGACTGGTGGCTTGTTGATGCCAGAACTTGAATACAAATTTTACTGACACGAATCCTTGTATTTTCTCCAGTACAGTTTATGATTTATGCTCAGGTCACTGTTAGGCTTTTCATGGCAAGTTTCTCAGGACGTAGAAATTTAGAATGCTAGACAGTGAAGTTGAGTTGCAAAGTGAATGGTAATCCAAAACAATGACATTTCCTACTTCAGAATATATATTAACTGCAAGTGTTTTTATCTAACTTAGCACACCAGCACATTTATTTTTTAGTATGCTGTGCTCTGCAGTCATGACAGATGAACAGTGTTAATGATCTACAGTAAAAGCTTTGACATTTTGTTGAGATCCAAATATTTTCCCAAATCATACTTATCTCATTACCCACCCCTAGTAAGTCACAGTGAATGATACTGAGACTATATATTCATTCAAAGATACACAAAGAGTGTTGAAAAGCTCACAAGATTCTTTTGTTGCTGGTCCGTATGATCTTGAAGCTGAAGGGCTCATTAATGACCTCTACGTGATAGTTCAAATTAGAGGTCTTAGGAGTCCTATCAAGCAAGTCAATATTTTCAAGGGTGACTTCATAGCGTTTGCTATCCATATCAGTGATCTGTCAGAATAAAAAGAGAAAAAACAACTCCAGATACGACCACTTCTGGGGCACCTGGGTGGCTCAATCGGTTGAGTAACTGACTGTTGATTTCTGCTCATGTCACTATCTCTAGGTTCATGAGTTCAAGCCTCATGTCGGGCTCCGCACTGTCAGCACTGCTGGGATTCTCTCTCTCTCTTCTCTCTCTTTGTCCCCCCTCCCACCCATTCTCCCCCCTCCCCCAAATAAATAAAAAATAAATAAATAAATAAATAAATAAATAAATAAATAAGCTATAAAAAGAGATAATTTCCTTGTAGAGCTATGAAGGACTTTCACTCTCAGTGAGAATAGCTTCTAATTCTTAACCCTGTGTTTCCTGATTTATGCGAAAAAAAAGATCACCCAATCATATGTCCGCCACAAAATACAAAAGAGCCTACCCATCCCATTGGGAGATTCCTGCAGAGGGAAACAGAGGCACATTCTGCCTCCATACCTCTATGCAGTGTCTAAAGGACAATGAGCTGAAACCAGAGTAAGGGCGTGGCATTCTTCAGAGATGTATTCAAAGGTAACCACAGAACCAACCTTAAAATGAAAACGATTGGATGTCTGATAGTCAGCCGTGAAGAGGGCGTCAGGGACATCATATCCAAACAGAGATGGGGTAGGTAGCCTTTTCAACTTGGCGGTAAACCCTGGGGGGGTGGGGGCGAGGAGGCAGCTTTTAGCCTTTATTTTGCAGTTAGCTTATCTGAGTCATCAAGAGTTGTTCTCTGGGACCTCATTAGGGCAGTACTCACCTGTTGTATCATTCTGTCTCTGGCCAACTTTATAGCCCCAGTTCCTAGGGAAGAAGCACCTCGGGGCACCTGTATGTGTCACAGGCTTCCAGCAGCATTTATATACCCCTCTGCAGACATTCTGTAACAATGGCACAGTGTTAGCATTGTATGAAATAAAGCAAAGAAAGTACTGCCTAAGAGTAATAATCAATTTTATTCCAAGAAGAATTTAACAATTTAAGACAAGAATTTACATTCAGTCATATGTTCATTCTTCTTTTATTCACACATTTACCCAGCCATCCAATATGGATTTATTACCTACCAGACAAGGAGATGATAATACATATAAATAAGACATAGTTCTTGCCTTCAGCAAACTGACATCATAGTCTAGTAGCAATGTAGACAATTCCAGTACGAGAGGAGTACTCGACAGAATGTGCCCAGGGGCTGAGGGAACATACACATCAGCCATTGAACACAGCCTAGAAGGCTGCAAGTGGGATGGGGAGGGCTTCCAGGTAGGTGAAAGATGAGTCCAGTCCTAATGCACCAAGAGGGGTTAGATAAGTGAACAGTGGAGCAGTATTCCAAGCAGAGAAAGCAGCAATGTATGACAGATTCATAAAAACCACAAGTTCATTGTACCAAGAACACTAACTAAGAGAAACAAGACTGGAGGCACACAATACTCATACCACAAGTGAGCTGCATGTCAGACCAACCAGCTTAGACTTTCTCATGAGGAAGAGTCATGGAAATGACTAACAATATGGCATAAAGAAATGCATTTCTAAGATGTAAGAAAAGGAAAGCAAAGGAAAATAGAGATTAAGATAGAACTAGGACAGAGGGTGATGAAAATATTCACAATGTCCACAAGGTAAAAAATAAACCACGTATGGCTTCTCAGAGTGGTTTGATTATGCATTTTTGAAATGATTATCCTTTGGCGAGATGTTTTTTCTATAGGTCCCACAACTTTAAGATTAACTTCCATAAAAATGGTTTTGTTATAATAAAGAAATAAAATAGATGGTAAATTGTTGAAATAAACATAGGCATCCACCTCTTCACCCAACTAAATTTACATGAAGTGACAGAAGTATCATTAAGAAAAGAATGCAGGGGCACCTGGGTGGCTCAGCTGGTTAAGTATCCGTCTTCAGCTCAGGTGATCTCAGGCTTCGTGAGTTTGAGCCCGCGTCAGGCTCTGTGCTGACAGCTCAGAACCTAGAGCCCGCTTCAGATTCAGTGTCTCCCTCTCTCTGCCCCTCTCCCGCTCATGTTCTGTCTCTCTTTCTCTCCCAAAAAATAAATAAACATTTCAAAAAAAAGAAAGAAAAGAATGCAAAACCACTACAAAACAGTCAGCTATAATGAAATATGGCTGACCAGAGACACAGGAAGTAGATTTTATCAACTCTAGGGAAAAACGTATTCATAGCTTAAAGCACAAGAGGAGAAAAAAACTGGCTAATCTAAGCCAAGTCAATGTGGAGAAGTAGAAGAGAACTGGGGCATAGTTTTGGATGATTAATTGGGAAGCTCCAGTATGAACACTTAACTGCCCAATCTGACATTCCTTACAGCTATTGGTAAGCTCTGGCTAATTGGTGGGCATCCTGAAGTATTTGTTCATAGGTTAAGGGAGTTAGGAAAGATGCTAGGAGCTGGAAGCCATGGCAATACACCAGTTAATAAGCCAGCCCCCCTTATCGTGGGACAAGTACCCACATTCTCTCTGGCAGTCCTTCCCTTCCCTCCCAAATACTCAGTGCGAGCCAAGGTAAATAGGGCAGGTGGTCATAGATAATTAAATACAAAATGACAGTCGAGAACCAACAAACATGAGAGAAACCAACACCAGGGTAGGTACCAAACTTAGAGAGCAAATTATAAAAGAATATATATATATATATAGAATATATATATATATACATATATATATATACATATATATAGTATAATTTGTGTTAAAACAAAACAAAGATATTAATATATGAGCATAATATATAAAATATATTCATAAAGAAAGTACTGCTTATGTATTGATAATCAATTTTATATGCATATAATCATAAATATATGCAAAAGCATAGAAAGATCAAGAGAAAGATACACACCACGTTATTGACTTGATTCTGGGAAGTGTCTCTGGAGGTAAAGAGAACATTATGAATAAGGAATGACTTTCCCTCTTTACTCTGTACGTAACTATAATGTCTCCATCTTTCTTATTAAAGAAATGTATCCAGTATAAATTTTGTGATAAAGAAAAACAAAATAATGTCACAACACTACTTGTTTGGAAAAGGTATCTCAGATGCTAACGTCTGATGTAATTGCTATGAAAAACCATGCCATGAATACAGCTTAAATCAATGTTTCATGTCTATTATAAACAAAGCAATCACATCATAACCATAAAATATTCTTAAATGTGCCTACTAATTCTCCATATATACAGTCGATATTCCTGCCCCATCCTCTCCAGATAACAACATCAACATAAGCTGGAGGGGGATCAGGGGAGAGTTTGTGAGTTCTGGATAACCTCCAGGTAACTGATACTCCTAAGTCCGAGGCAGACATTCAGTGCCTCTGCTACCTCTGAAACTGAGGTTGGTAAAGTCCAAAAGGTCAGTTTCACTGCCATAAACTGTTCCAGAATCTATAGACCTGTATAAAAAGCAATAAGATAAGAAATCCAATACCTTCAGGTAAATACAGTATTTTTGAATGCCGTCTGCCATAACATCTCTACTTCAATTTTAAGCCATTCCCAGTATTGCAGGTATCAAAGGTAAACTCTTTGACATAGATACATCTCCTTCTTTTCCATTTCCACTGCCACCACGAACAGTAATACAGACCTTCATAAACTCTTCCCTGGTCTACAGTGGTTGACTCATGACAAGCCTCCCTTTCTCTTTTCTTCTCCTAACACCAAACTTTCCCAAAGAGTATTCACCAGTTATCTTCCAAATAGACTTTTATGCTATTTTCCACTCAAATTATTGACTAATAACACTTGAGAATCAACTTGGAAATTATGTAATCCAACTTCCATTTAATATAAGGATTCTTTCAGCAGTGCCTCTGAAAGATGCTTAAGTTCCGTGAATGATGTGTTGCTAACTTCTTCCAAAATCAGAAATTTCACCTTCATGGTTAATATTTTATCACAAAGTTATTTCTTATGTTTAGTTAAAATCACTCCCCAGAAAGTTCCATTCTCTGAAACTTATTGTAGTTGCATATTGCCTTGTAGATAAAATATCTCAAACTATATTGAAAAGTAAGAAGGAAAAAGGATCCTTAGTGTTACTAGACAAGGAGAATAAGAAATGCATTTTGGGGAAAAAGTGCTAATGGTTATTAGTTGCAGGTATCATTATTATCAAAGAAAAATTAAAAAGTGTTTATAAACACACTAGGATAATAAATAAATTTAAGAAGATTTCTGGTTACAAGATTAGTATTCAAAAAATCAATTTTAAGTCAATGTGCCAACAACAGCTAAATGGAAAATTAAAGTTTAAAAATATTTAAATAATATCAAACATCATATAGTTAGAAAATACTTGGAAAAAATTTTTGGACGTCTACACCAAAAACTTCAAAATTAAAAATCTCAATAAATGAAAAAATATATCATGATCATAGATTAGAATATTCACTCTTATAAAGTATGACAATTCTTCCAAAATTAATCTGTACATTTTATGTGAACAGAATAAAATTTCTGGCAGATTTTGTAAGAAAACCAGTGGACTGAACTGATTCTAAAATGTATTTAGAAATCTAAAGGGTGAAGAATAAGCTAGGCAATCTTGAAGAAAAATAAAGGCAATTTGGAAGACCGATACAATCACATATCAAGACCTATTATAAAGCTATACTAATAAAGGGAGTGTGGTATTGGCAAAAGAACAAACTAACAATGGAACAAAACAGATATTCCAGAAATAGATCCTCACTTGTAAAGACACATAGTTTACAGTGTGGGGGCCACTACAATGCAGAGGGGTAAAGATGGTTATTTCAATAAGTGGTGATGGATCTATTAAAGATTCAAGAAAAAAAATGTTCTGGACTCCTACCTGATAGCATACACAAGAACCAATTCTAGATTGATTAAAAATCCAAATTTGATAAATGAAACAATGCTTTTAGAGGAATACATAGGAATATATTTTCCTAACCTTGAAGTAGGCAATAATTTTTAAATAGAATACAAAATGCATATTAAAACTTGGTAACGTGGATTTTATTAAAGCTAAGAACTACTTTTCATCAAAAGTCACCATTCAGTTAAAAGTCAAACAACAGAGTAAGAAAAGATACTTACAATGTATATATCTGATAAAAGATTTACACTCAGAATATATAAATGATTACAAAGCAACAAGAAAAATATGAACAGTCCAACAGAAAAAACTGGTTAAAAAAGTTGAAAAGACACATCACAAATATGATTGTCCATGTAGCCAGTAAGTATATGAAAAGGTGTATAACTTCATTAGTCATGAGGGAGATACAAAGCAGAGGGAACAGAGTCAACAGTATTGTAATAACATGGTATAGTAGCAGATGGTGACTATACTCATCATTGTGTAATGTGTAGAAATGTGGAATCACATACATATCATAGTGCCAACTATATTTCCATATTAAAACTTTTAAGTTAAAATTACATTAAGAAAAACAAAGAAAAAGGAGAGAACACCAAGAGTACGTTAGGATACAGAGCAACTGCTATTACCTACTGCTAGAGGGACTGTAAATTGGTACAAATTCTTCAAAAAACTATTTTGCAATATCACTGAAAGATAAACATGTACATATTTGATGAACTAGGATACAAATATATACTTAATAACTCAAGAAGAAGAACTACAGAAACCATCTAGAAATAGGAAATTTCAGTTGGCCAATTATTTAATTAATATATTCTGATATAATAAAACATAAACACGTAAATATAAAATAAAATAAATGTAATAAGTGTAAAATAATCTTAGTAATAAAAGAAGCACCAGGTAGAAAATTTAATGGATTGCATATATAATAGAAACTAAGCATATGAAAGTTTTAGGGGAAAATCCTCATAATGCATATGTAATAAAATGCATATATTTTTAAAAACATTTATTTATTTTGAGAGAGAGAGAGAGAGAGAGAGAGAATGAGTGGGAGAGGGGCAGAGAGAGAGAGAGGGAGAGAGAGAATCCCAAGCAGACTCTTTACTGACAGCACAGCCTCCATGCAGGGTTCCATCTCACAAACCGTGAGATCATGACCTGAACCAAAATCAAGAGTCAGATGCTCAACCTACTGAGCTACCTAGGTATCCCTGTAACAAAATGCATATTAAGGGAAACATAAAACCCAGCTAAGAAATATACATATATAAAAAAGAGTTGAAATGGAGAGATTTCCTATGTTTTCAGAATGGGAAGATTAAAAATTATTGAGATATCAGTATTGCCTAAATACATTTTAAAAAAGGGATAGGCGTCACTGGGTGGCTCAGTCAGTTGAGTGTCTGACTTAGGGTCAGGTCATGATCTTGCAGTTGGTGAGCTGGAGCCCTGCATCAGGCTCTGTGCTGACAGCTCAGAGCCTGGAGCCTGCTTTGGATTCTGTGTCTCCCTCTCTGTCTCTGCCCCTTCCCCACTTGCACTATGTCTCATTCTCTCTCAAAAATAAATAAACATAAAAAAATGCCTAAATATAACTCAAAACTCAATGCAGTCCTAATTAATATCCCAATAGGATATTACGGGATATAGAATGTAGAATATGAGGGAAAGGAATAAAATCTACATATATACAACCTTTATGATAAAGTCATAAGTCACAACCAAGCAGTGTTCAAATAGCTGATATTCTTGTGTTAGCTACTCATAAACATAAAAAAAAATCTATGTTTTTAGCACCTGTTCATTTGGGTGATTTGTTGCCAATACATGATTTTAGAGGGCTTTTGTTATAACAAGTCACTTGAGTTCTACAAGTGAATCAATCATCCATATGTGCTTGATGGCCTCTATTCGCAAGGAACACATAGTCTAGCCCACAAACATTTACTCTTCCCATGGCTATCCTTGGAGTCACACTTATGACACATTTAGCAACAATGGGAACTCCCCCTCTATTCTGGATTTTAGACCCCATGAACCAACACTCTCTTAGTTCCTCCTCCTCTTCACTTTACCCTATCCTCCTTTCCCCACTTCCACAGCATTGCTGTTTATCCAAATAAGGCAAGAAAGAAATAAGTCCAAATAAATCACAGGCCCACAATCCACTTTACCACCATCCTCTTCCCACTTGACATACTTGTTTCCTTTAAATAAAACCAATGAGAACAAGATAGTCTCTTCAACAAGTGGTATTGGAAAACTGGATGGTGACATGCAGAAGAATAAAACTGGACCACTTTCTTACACCACACACAAAAATAAATTCAAAATGGATAAAAGACCTAAATGTGAGACAGGAAACTTTCAAAATCCTAGAGGAGAACAGAGGCAGCAACTTCTTGGACCTCGGCCATAGCAACTTCTTACTAGACACGTCACCGAAGGCAAGGAAAACAAAAAGCAAACATGAACTATTGGGACATGATCAAAATAAAAAGCTTCTGCATAATGAAGGAAAAAATCAGCAAAATTAAAAGGTGTCCTACGGAATGGGAGAAGACATTTGCAAATGACATACTGGATAAAGGGTTATTATCCAAAATGTATCAAGAACGTATCAAACTAAACACCCAAAAAACAAATAATCCAGTGAAGAAATGGGCAAAAGACATGAATAGACACTTTTCAAAGAAGACATCCAGATGGCTAGTAGACACATGAAAAGATGCTCTCCATCACTCATCAACAGGGAAACACAAACCAAAACAACAATGAGATACCACCTCACACCTGTCAGAATGGCTAAAATTAACAACACAAACAGCAGGTGTTGGCAACAATGCAGAGACAGGGGAACCCTCTTGCACTGTTGGTGGAAATGCAAACTGGTACAGCCAGTCTGGAGAACAGTATGGCTGTACCTCAAAGGTTAAAAATAGAACTACCCTCCAATCCAGCAATTGCACTACTAGGTATTTACCCAAAGGATACAAAAATACAGATTCGAAGGAATAGATGCACCTCGATGTTTATAGCATCATTATCAATAAGAGCCAAGCTAAGGAGAGAGCCCAAATGTCCACAGACTGATGAATGGATAAAGAAGATGTGGTGGATATACACAATGGAATATTACTCAGCCATCAAAAAGAATGAAAACTTGCCATTTGCAATGTGGATGGAGCTAGTGAGTATTATGCTAAGTGAAATAAGTCAGTCAGAGAAAGACAAACACCACATGATTTCACTCATATGGAATGTAAGAAACAAAACAAATGAACGTATGGGGGGAGAGAGAGTGGGAAAAAAAACCATGAGAGACCCTTAAAGAGAGAGAACAAACTGAGGGTTGATGGAGAGAGGTGGGTGGGTGATTGGCTAGATGAGTGATGGGTATTAAGGAGGACACTTGTTATGATGAGCGCTGGGTATTGTATGTAAGTGATGAATCACTGAATACCACTCCAGAAATCAATATTGCACTGTGTGTTAATTAACTAGAATTTAAGTATAAATTTGAAAAAAAAATAACACATAGGGGAAATTATGAAAATGGGAATAGAAATAATATAATATAATGCAAAACTTAGAGATGAGGAAATACAATAGAATGATAGGAGTTCAGAAGGAAAACATATGTGTTCAAAGATCACTGTCTGTCCTTTTAGTGTCCACAGATTTATATACATTTATAAAGGGCTTTTTCTGATCACCTCAAACAGGCAAGAACACTTAACAAGCTAATCAACATGTGAATAGTAATGCTTTAGCAAAAATAACCATGCCAGCCAGCTATTGACAGAACAAACTGTTCTACTATCAATGAAATTCCTATAGAAATAAAGTCATTTTAACTGATAGATAGAAGATAGATAGATAGATAGATAGATAGATAGATAGATAGATAGATAGATATAGATGATAGATAGATAGATAGATAGATAGATAGATAGATAGATAGATAGATAGATAGATTCCAGTAGAACAATAGCAGAGAGCATATTTCTCTGACCTCTGTCACCACATGCCCAGGAACACAGTCTATCCTCTCTGATTCGGGGATATCTGGGCACTCTGGAACAAATGAACGACCTGCATAGGAATTAAAGGAAAAAGTTGAAAGTTTGTAGTGTAATCACAATTTCAGAAAGGCTGCAGGCAGAGTTACAGACTTGACCGCCAAATTCTCAGGTCAATGATCACTAGTAGTTGGTATCTATCTGTGCCTACAAGTGTTAAACCCATTTGCTTTTTGTTTGGTTGCTTGTTATTGGATATAATTCACATGCCATAAAATTCACCCTTTTAAACTGTACAATTCAACTGCTTTCAGTTTTTTACCAAGTTGTGTTGCCAATCACCACTATTTAATTCCAGAACATTTTCATCCAAAAAGAAATCACATACCCATTCATGGTCACTTCCCATCCTCTCTTCTCCCAGTCTCTGGCAAACACTAATCTGTTTTCTGTCTCCATGGATTTGCCTATTCTGAACATTTCATATAAATGGAACCATAAAGTATGTGGTCATTAGTGTCTGTTTTTTTCACTTGGCATAATGTTCTCAAGGCTTATCTATGTTGCAACACATTAACAATAATTCAGTCTTCTTTTTTTTTATGGCTGAATCATAACCATTGTACGGATATAACACTTTAAAAAATCTGTTCCAAAGTTGATGTACTTTTGTGCTGTTTTTTACTTTTTGACTATGACATAGAATTCTGCAATGAACATTTGCATACAGGTTTTTGTGTGAACATATGTTTTGAATTATAGATAGATAGATAGATAGATAGATAGATAGATAGATAGATATAGTATAGATCTGGAAATGGATTTACTAAGTAATATGGTTGAGCTCTTTCTTTTTAACTTTTTGAGGAACTGCCTAACTTGTTTCCAAAGGGACTAAAATTCCAAAATTTTACCTTCCCACGAGCAGTGTGTGAGGGTTCCACTTTCTCCACATCCTCAACACTTGTTATTATAGACATTTTCCTGGGAGTGAAGAGTATGTGATTTTGACTTACATTTTCCCAAAACTGGTAACAAATATCTGTTCATGACATATTGGCCATTTGTTGATCTTTTGTGAAGAATGTCTGTCCAAATTCTACACTCATTTTAAAAACTGGATTATTTTTCTTTTAAGTTTTGAATTGTAAGATTTCTTTATACATCTGGATACAAGAATCAGATATGTTATTTGCAAATATGTTTCCCATCCAGTGGGCTGTCTTTTCACTTCCTTGATGGTGTCTTTTGAAGCACAAATTGTTTTTTTTTTTTTAAGTAAAATTTACCCATCTTTTCTTTGGTTGTTATGTCTTAGGTGTCATATCTAAGACACTGCTGTCTAACTCAACGTCAAAATATTCATAACTGTTTTCTTCTTGGAATTTTATATGCTTGGCTCTTACGTTTCAAATTTTGATCCATTTTAAGTTAATTTTCATATGTGATGTCAGGTAGGGATTCAGGAGTATTTTCTTACATGTGGCTATCTGTTGTCTCACACATTTGTTTTTGTTTGTTTGTTTTTGCTTTTTTTCCCACTTACTTTTAGCCATCTATGAGGTAAACCAGGAAGATATTATAATCTCCATTTGAACAAAGATCCTCACTCAACGTTGGTTATTCTTCCTTTAGCCTTTATCACATTTGTGAGCCCCTCTCCCCCACCCATCAATGTAACATCAGAAGTAGGACCTGATTCAGTAGGCTCCATGAGCCAGTCAAAGCCCAGAATTGCATTTGAGTCTTAAGTTAACAGTGGACATAATAGGTACCCTTTAGTGCCTTTGTTTCTATTCAAAAAAGACCTCAAAACAACTCTCCTACCTTTATGGCTCTACAGTTGTGTGTATATATATTTAAATAAAAATTTATTTTAAAATTGGATTGAAGACTTAAAAGTAAGACCCTTGAAACTATAAAACTCCTAAAAGAAAACATATGAGAAACACTTCATGAGATTGGTCTTGGCAATGATTTTATGGATATGATCTCAAAAGCATAGGCAACAAAAGCCAAAATGGACAAGAGGGACTACATCAAACTAAAAAGCTTCTGGATACCAAAGGAACCTATCAACAGAATGAAAAGTTAACATAAGAAATGGGAGAAAATATTGGCAAACCTTCTATCTGAAAATGGGCAAAATTCTAAAATGCATAAGGTACTCCTACAACACAACAGTAAAACCAAAATGAAAAACAATAACTTGATTAAAAAATGGGCTAATGACTAGAATAAGCATTTCTCTAAAGACACACAAATGGCAAACAGAAAAGATGCTCAGTGTCACTAATCATCAGGGAAGTTTAAATCAAAACCACAATTACATATCACTTCACATCTTAGGATGGCTATTATAAAGAAAACAAGAGATATCTTGCTGGCTCAGTCAGTAGAGCATGTGACTCTTGATCTCAGAGTTGTAAATTTGAGCCCCACTTGGGATGTAGAGATTACTTAACAATAAAATCTAAAAAACAAAATACAAGGTAGAAGTGTTGATGAGAATGGGAGCAATAGGAAATGCCTGTATGCTAACGGTGGGAATGCAAACTGGTGCAGCCACTGTGGGAAAACAGTATGGAGGGTCCTCAAAAAATTAAAAATAGAACCACCATACGATCCAGTAATCCAACTTCTGCTATCAGCATGATTGAATAATTCAAAGGAATGGAAATAAAAATATCAAAGAGATATTAGCATTCTCATGTTTATTGCAGTGCTACCCACAATAACCAAGATGTGAAAACAATCCAAGAGTCCATCAACCAATGAATGGATAAATAAAATGTGGGCTGTGTGTGTGTGTGTGTGTATCAGAATATTATTCAGACATAAAATAAAGAAGGAAATCTGGTTATTTTCAACAACATGGATGAATCTGGAGGACATTGTGCTAAGTGAAATAAGCCAGTTACAGAAGAACAGACGCTGTATGATTCCATTTATAGGAGGTATCTAAAATAGTCAAATTCACAGAAGCAAAGAATAGAATGATGGGTGCCAGGGCCTGGGGGGAGGAGGAAATGGGGTGTTCTTAATCAACATGTATAAAGTTTCAGTTAGGCAAGATGAATAAGTTCTACAGATCTGATGTACAACATTATGCAATAACAATACTGTATCGTACACTTAAGAATCTATTAAGAGAGTAGACCTCATGGTAAGTGTTCTTACCACAACAAAAAAAATTAAATTAAAAACCCTCCTTTTCAATTCATGTAAACATATCTTCAAAAAGCATCTCGAGAGAAGCCCAGCATATACAACAGTTAAAAGTGAAACTATTCTGCATGAATTAGAGTGTGATTTAGGGTAAAAATGCAGGTGTGCAGATGTAGTTTTATTTTAACTAAGAGAAACTACTTATTCATGTATATTGGATAGTAATATCATGGGACTTGATACTCAAAAAAAGTTTTCTAGGGAAAAGGTAGTAATAGGCTAAAAACAGTTTATATCCATGGTTTTCAAATCTTCTTTCAAAGACATAACTGTTCCTAGAAAGTGCCCTAATGTTTACTGTGGACAGTGGTTAAAAGAGATTGAGTAGGTAGGCTCTGCTCTCAGCACAATTTCTTTTCAATGCACCCCTAACCTACATTTAGAAAGTGAACTTCATCAAGCAAAATAAACCTCAAATTCTGTTTTAATTAGGGCTAGGGTTTTGTATTACACACTATTATTTTATTATTTAGAGTATCATGTGTTCATGAAGGAGAGGGCATTCTGTTTGAGGCTTCTGTGTGAGAAAGAACAGTTTCAAAGGTATTGATGAAGAAATCATAGTTATTTCAATCAGAATATGGGCTGGAAGCTAATTATAATAGATCTATTTAGGCCAAGTTAATCAGCCCTCAAGTTGCCTGTAACTTAATTTCCTTTTCCATGATGTAATGGGATTGGGCACTGTTACCTCAACTGTACTTTCTCTTTGAAGGCTTCATGACTGGATTGAAGGACAGAAATCCAATGAGCCTAATTTTGCATCTTGTTAAATTTTCATCAAATGAGACTTTCATCAGAAGATCCTGAACATCAGTATCATTAAAGCATTTGCTATAGAAAAAGAACACTTGTCTTTTGAAAATTGACTTAAATTAGCTGTGGATGTGGATTTTGAATAATGCAATGTGGTGCCATGCTAAAGAGTGAAGAAATATAATGATGGCTTTGGCAACCAGAGAGGACTTTCTTTACCAATCCTTCCAACCCCAAAGCAACAAGCATCTTCCTTACCTGAAGGATTTCCCAACACCAAAAGCATCAAGAAGATATCTAAGGCGAGTATAGTTAGGAAGAAGATGATCAGAAGGACTTCCAACACACTCAGATTCCTTGCCATCTAGACGGACACAGATAATGGCATTTAAGCAAATCACAAACCCCATCAATCCAAAAGATAGGCATCATGATTAGAATTTGAACTCATTTGCAAGATGACTTGATTATAAGCATTCCTCTTTATATAATCAAGAGAATATTGGTTTCCATCCATTACAGTGTTTACAATGAACTCTAGTCTGCGTCTAACACCTCTAAGCCTCCTGTCTTTTTTGTCTGCAGAGGACTTGAGTATTGTCTAAGGAAAGAATATATCAGACGTAAAGAACTGGAGGAAGGGAGGAGTGGAATGGAGTAGAGGAGAGAGATGAGGGTTTAAGGCGGCTCACAAAGCCCTTCTAGATGCCACTTTGATCCTCACACCCATCCTGGGCAGTAGAGAAGAGGGTACACTCAGGGAGGGAAAAAGTAAGAAAACCTGAATTCTAGTCATCTTATTCCACTTCCTATACCATGATGGTAAGGAGTTTAATTGTTCAGAAGTGACTAAACCTGTTAAGACTCTTGCAACAAAAATGAACCTAATTCTGATCTCCAGCACAATGCTTGTTTGCATGATCACAGCACACAAACCCATATAAATTTGGTGGCTCACTGTAGCCCTGTTGATCATGCATAGACCCATGTTTTAAAATATTTGGTGTATTAGAGTGTGTAATGAACTGGGAACCAAAGAAGTTCAATTCTTGTCCTGGCTTGCATACCAACAGATGGGTATTTTAGCTATTTGGATGTGCATTTCTCCATCTGCAAAATGAAGTCAGATTCTGGAGTTACTGTCATTCTTCTGCTCTAATTATAGTAAACTTCACATTATATCTATGCCTCACAATTCCATGACAGCCTTCACCATGTCATTCCTTGGCTGACTCTTTACCATCACTATGCTTCTTACTACCCCTGCATATTGGCTATTCCCTGGAACTTATCACCCCTCAGAATTTGTCCCCTTCTGAACTCTTAGCCTGTACTTCCTATTTCCTGGGCAGAAGCTCATGCCCTTTTGCCTTCTCATTACACTGTTTCCTTATTCTTTGATCACATTGAGGCTTCTGTTGTGTTCCCTTCCCTCTTAATTTCTTAGTCCCACCTGGCTACCATCTTTCCCCGATGGAGGCCTCAATAGCTATTATTTCCCACATCTTCCTTGCTCCCTTATCTGCTAACTGGATCTATACAATGAAGCCATTGATCCAAACTTCTCCCTTCTTGGTTTATGCACTCAGCCCAATGTAGATGCCACTGGCTTCATAATCTGACAAACATGCTGCACCTTCATGCTGACTGACAATCTTCCCACTTTCTCTCATTTCTCTTAGGGGAAATTTCAAATATTGATCCTTGTTTTCAAGCTCCAACATTTGTCACCTATGCTGTTTGCTACTCTCAGTCCAATCATCTCCAACATCACAAACAAAACTAGTTTACAGAAACTATTTCATCTCCCTGCTTCTCAACCCAAGCTTTTCTATAAAAATTATCTACATCTAGATAAATTCTTATCCTTTCCCCTCTTCTCAGTGGAAGAGTTTTCCATCCTCTTGTCTAAGCATAACCCTTGTATCTATCCTATAGATCTCACACACTATGAATTTCTCAAAAATCTTATTCCACCAATTATCCTTCCTCTTTCTTGAATTATCAACCTTTCCCTCTGAATGTGTTCTTTCCCCCTCAAAAGTATATCCCAAGTCGCCCTAAACTCTGGTGATGATTCTGTGTTCTTCTCTAGGTACCATCATAACTTTCTTTTTCCTTCCACAAATAACTTTCCAAAAAGATAATTTCACCCTGCCTGTATTAGTTTCCTCATATAATACTGGCATGTCTTCTGTTTCCTGTATTCCAAGGAAACTCCTCCTGTCAAGGTCACCAGGGATTTAGCTGCTGAATACAATGGGCACTCTCTTAAACATCCAGCACTATCAACTACTTCCTCCTCTTTGAATTTCTCCATGGTTGGATTTTTTATCATTCAATCTTGGTTTTCACCCATGTTTCTGGTTCCTCTTCAATTTCCTTTTAGTCCCTTGCTTCATTAACTATTGATATGTCCCACATTTTCAACATAGGTCCACTATCCTTTCTCCTTTAGCAAGCTCCACAACTCATGACTTCATATAACAGAGGACAATGTAATCTGTATTTCTAGCTCAGAGATTCAGATTCATGTGTGCAACCACCTATTAGATGTTTCACCTGGATGCCCCACACACTTCACCAAATTCAGCATGCTTAAACCTGCACTCATCTCTCCCCACACCCCAGTCCCAGCCTATGCCAATTCTGCCCAGTTGGCCTCTCCTAACATGATTAATATCTTGAAGAACAGAATCACAATTTTGTCAAAAACCTAAGTAAATTTTTTGACTCTTTTTTTTTTTTTTTAGTCCTTCCAGCCAGTCACCAGTTCAGTCAGACTCCTTTTCCAATATCTTTCAAATCTATTTCTTCCTCTCCATCCCTACTGGAAATCCTTTAGTCAGGCCATCATTTCTGGCCTGAACTGTGACCACAGCTTCCTCCCGGCTCTCTGCTTCCTCTCTGCAGATGGATTGCTCTTTCTTCTGCACAAATGGGGTCATTTAGTTTTCCTCTATTCAAGTCCTCAGTGGTTTCCCAAATAAAATATAAATGCTTTAGCTTTGTATTCACAGGTCTTCATGACATCTCCTATGCCCGCCGCCCTGCCTCTTCTCTCCCCTATGTTCCAGCTATACCAAACCAACAACTGTGTAGTAATAATCTATAAATCCAGGTGAACAGACTTTCTTACTTTTTTTAAACTTCACCTCTCTTTTAACTTTGCATTTCCCTGTACCCCTGTTCTTCTCAGCCCTGGCCCAATGCCATGACCATTTCTGTAAGTATTTTCATACCTGTATAGCTTCATTTTTTTAATTGAGACAGGCTTTGGTTAATGTGTAAAAAGACAAGCAAAAAACACCTTAATTTTGAAATGGAGGTAAGGAGCAAGGATCTACAAATAATTTGCCACGGGTTGCAGGGAGTTAGGATTGAGGCTTGGGATTGAAGGTGGAGTTTATTAACTATCTTTTCATATTAGCCTAAATCTATCAGGTATCTCTCCTCTAAACTCTTCAAAGGTTTACTCTAATCCCTGTAAGATATATATCATGTTATTATATTCCCATGATACCTGTACATGGAAGTTGACCAGGCAGGCAACATGATGCCCATTTTATGTCAATGTTAAGGAATTGTGCCTAACCATGGTTAGTGGTGTAACTGAGGCAAACACTGAGGCTCTGCTTCTTAAACCAGTCCTTGAGTGTTCTCACTCTCTCCACAATATCTCCTGGACTGTAGAGCTTACAGATCTAGAGGCTGGATCTCCAATGGTGAAATTTCAGGCAGTGAAAGAAGTCTGAGAGACCCACCCCATGTGCTCACATTACATGACTCTGTTTCTTATACACAGAGCCCATGACTCACTACCACAGCAAACACTCTATCTGTCACTCAGCTTCCCTTCTCCAAGCACTGTGTCTCTCCATGAGGAAACTTTGCTTCCCAGCCTCTACAAACCCAAGGCACATGCCTCTTCCACAGCTTCTGAATCCTCCCAGGGGAGCAGGCTCAACACCTCCCAGGGGAACAGGCTCTGGAAGTTCAGGATCCTCAGAGGACAACCCTAGGCATTTTCCTGCCTCAGGGACTACTGCCATCCTGCCAGCAAGTGGGTAGGTGGGATTCCAAAAGGTAGAAAGTCTTTCCTACTCAGAAACCCTCCCTACCCAGAGCCACTTTTCATCAAACAGAATTTTAGAATAATTAAAATCCAGATTATGATTAAAAACCTTAATGATTGTATACCATTTCCCTCCCTGCCCAAAGAGATGCATTCGTTGTACTTCTAATCCATGGCACTTTTAGCCACCTTCCAGAAGGAAGCTCCCAGTGAGAGTTTTCTCCCAGTGAGAGAGGAACATCTTGGATTCAACCCTCCCTGTCTGTTACACACACACACACACACACACACACACACACACACACACACACACAATCTCTCCAGTCAGCCTGTGACTTCATGCACTATCTCATTCCCACTCCTCATGGTCTCTGGAAAAGGAAGAACATATCAGGTCCAAAAGAAAAGTGTGAGTTGTTCAGATCATTTTGCAGAGGAGACAGGGACATTTAAAATAAAAAAGGAACACTACTTACTCAAAACACCACATGCATGGAGAAAAGTACTCACCTCATAGCCGTATCCCTTTATTTGCTATGTCTATCCCTTGGTGGTTCTTGAGGAGCACTGGGCAAAGGTGACTAGGTTGATGTAGCCAGCTTCTGCTAGGATTGATTTATTGCCCTGTAAATTTGACGGTGATTGGAGGAGAGGAGGGTTTTCCAATTGACCATAAAATGGCCCTTGCTTTCCCTGGGACTTAGAGTGAGCTCCGTTTGTTAATAAAAGAGGAAGGTGGGGTTTTATTCTAATAGTTATGCCTCTTCTGTGTTCCTGTTAATATCCAATTACTTTGCTTGTCACATTATACTTGCTTGACTATCCATGTCGCCTAAAGAGATCAGGAGCTGGATCTTCACTTTTGTATCGGTGTCTCCTGTGCTTAGCCTAACATTCATAGATAGTTTTAAATATATGGCTATTCGTTGAATATGTAAGTGAAAAAACGAATAGCTTTTGCTTCACTACATTGTTCCTTTCTCCATTTTGCCACCCAAAGTTCTCTTGCATAACTCAGCTTTCCACTTTTTTTCAAGTTGATTTATTTGAGAGAGAGGGAATGAGAGAGCGTGCACATGTATAAGTGTAGCAGAGAGAGAGGAGAGAGAGAATCCCAAGCACTGATGGTGCAGAGTCTCATGTGGGGCTCAGTCTCACAAGCCATGAGATCATGACCTGAGCTGAGATAAAGAGTTGGGTGTTTAACTGACTGAGCCACCCAGGTGCCCATCCATTAATTTGAATAAGTGTTCCCACCAATTATTCTAAATAAAAGAAGCACCATTAAA